CCTGAAATAAATAATAAATAAGTTGCCTGTGGACTTATGGCAACCTCATGATTTCCATGGAGATTTCATAGGCAAGGAATATGATTTTGCCAGTCCCTTCCTATAGCCCACAGCACCTGGTATTTGTTGACAGTCTCCCATCCAAGTACTAACCAGGACTGACCCTGCTTTATCTTCCTAGATCACACAGGATCTGGTGCCTTTAAGAAACACTCACTGTTACATTGGGCAAATCACACTCTCTCAGCCTTAGAGGGAGGCAATGGCAAACCTCTTCTGAACAAATCTTACAAAGAAAACCCCATGAAAGTTTTGCCTTAGGATTGCCACAAGTCTGAAACGACTTGAAGGCACAAATCTTAACCTGTACTTTTCATGGCCACTATTGCTTGTCTTGGAACCAGGTTGCTGAAATTGCTTCTTCTACCCAGCCATTAAAAGTGCAGGAGCCCTCTCCAGCTTTCACACTGGTAACTCTAGGTCTGGTAAGAGATCTTAAGGGGAAGATGCCTCTGAACACAACCAGGGTTACCAGCTACCCCTCCTTCCTTATGTATTATGCTTTATTTTCTGCCTTTTAGCCAGGATAACTTAAGATGGCATGCAGTTTCCTGCCCAACTGGGCGCTGACTACACCCAGAATTATTCAGCCTCAGCAAGACAGTGGCATCTTATGTGTCAAGGCTGGAAATCATGCAGTACTGAAATTGTTGAATGGGCTTAGCAGCTGTTGCAACGAATGAGGAAGGATGGGAGTTGTAGTCCAGCAATCTCTGGAAGCCTGCGCAATTTCCATCTCTGCTATATCTGGCATTCAGACCTTGGCGAATGCTTCATATTTTCCAGGGTGGGGCCCTGGCATTTGAAAAGGAAGATAAGGGTGGAGTATTGGCACTTATTTTCAGAAGTGAGGCATGGGTTTCAAAGCTTTGGTTTGGCCAGGGCATGGTTCCAAGCCCATTTCAAATTCTACTTGACCTAAATAAAATAAAATAAATAAAATAAAATGGTAACTAGTGTCTTTGAGCACATGAAGACTGCATTTCCCTTCTCACAAACTTAACTAAAGATACCTTCTTTATATTAAAGATAACAGATTGAGTTTTCAGGGCAGGCTGTTTAGTAAACCATAGCAACTGATTATTTGTGTGCTGATGTTTTGTTTTGTTTTCCAAAGGAATGCACTGATTGCCAAATTTCTGCTTTAGATGTATGGTCTTAAAGCTACTTGGCATGGCATATTTTTCGATTAATTTATTTGATTTATAGACTTCCCTTCTTCAGAAATAGCCCAGGACATAGTAAAGCCTCAATGTGGTGATTCATAACCCTTGTAATGTGGGTCATGATACCACACAAAAGTAATAAAGTGCTGAAGGCCTGGGTCAAGAGCAAAAGTGGATGAATTGTAAAAATTTAACTTCAGCTCATTTGTTTATTTATGGTGTTCAAGGCAACTAACAGTAATAAAACATAAATTAAAAATAAAAGCTTGATTAAAACACAAAACAAATAGAAGCGAACTAAAAATGTTGTGCTTCAGGGGAGTTGTGCTGAATGTAACCAAAGTGGAAATGAAAGGTGGCATGTTGCTAGGCAAATAGTAGATATTCCAGGGCTTGTGCATGTAGAGTTGCCAGAATGAAAACTGGAAAGAGTTCCTCTACCTTTAATTGTTGTGTAGAAGAGGGAATTATAGCATGTTTTGTTTGTTTGTTGCATGCTACAACGTGCTACAGTTCTCTCTTCCATATAAACATTAAAGGTACCAGTGTGGTATAGTAGCTTGAGTGTGGGACTATGACTCTAAAGATCAGGGTTTGAATCTCTGCTCAGCCATATGAATAAATTTATTAATTACAGCCAGTGACCAGCA